CCTTCCTTATGGAAGCAGGGAAAAATTCAATTGTGGGAGCTGGATATGGCAAGGCATGCCTGTAATGCTAGCCCTCAGGAGGCAGAGGTGGGAAATGGGGGTTTGAGGCCAGCTGGCTCTACTTTTTCTTTTTTAAAACAAAAAGAGAGTGTGGAGATCAGAGCTGAAAACTTTCTCCTAGTGGGCCCCTGAATAGACAGGGCAGCTAACTGAGAACAGACAGCAAGGATGGACAAGGGATGGGGCAGACAAATGGGGCAGGGAGCACACAGCCCCCAAGGGAAAAAGAGCTGATACCTGGCTGCCCTGTTCTTACCTACTAGGCTTCTTCTGCCCACAGCTGCCTGACAACCGGAGCACAGTCTAAGGTTGCCACTGCTCACAGACCTCTAGAGGCTGGTGCACCAGCTCTAACACTGTGGTATATACTGCAGAGCCCAGTGTTTATAATCTGTATGATATGGCCCACCTGGGCTGCCTTATTTCCTCCCCTTGGGACTGAAGGAGACAAGCTGGAGCCTTCAAGGCAGCTACAATCAAGTCAAACCTTGAAGAAACCTGCCTGGGGGTAGGTAAAATAACAATGGAGGCGGTTAAGTCCCGGAGGGTGAGAAATAGTCTAGGCTTCTGGTTTGTGGGCAGGAAAACATTGGGGTGGGACCCATGAGGAATGCCTTCAAGTCTCTAAGTGAGAAGGTAATGCAGCTGGGGGTGAGGCACACTGTGGGGCTTCCAGCAGGTTAGGTTAACAAAGTGGAGGGAGGGAGGGGAGCTGGAGGCCTGTGGGTAATATGGGCAGGTGACAATCCAGGCCTGGGCTTCTGAGAAATTTGAGCAGGAGCTGCAGTAAACTCGATTAGGAGTCAGGGCAACAGGGTGGTAGTGCTAGCTTTGCTGTGGGCCTATGGGCATGCCACATCTCTGTTTAGAACTTTAACTGTGAAACCTAAAAGCCATGGGCTGGAGAAGTGGCTCCATGGTTCAGTTCCCTGCACCCATGCCAGGTGGCTCACAGAACCTATAACTCCAACTCCAAGGGATCTGACACCCTCTTCTGCCCTCCATGGGCACACACATGCCGGCTTGTGGTGAATGCACATAATTAAAAATAAAGTAAATCTTTGTAAAATAAAAACCCTAAAAGCCTTCACAGCCACATCTCCAGTCTGACGTGGGGCCACAGATTTGCTGAGCCTTTGGAAGAGGACCTGAAACAACACAGGGATCCCACTGACCTAGTAGACACTGGGAACAAGAAAGCAGTCAAATGGGAACCCAGAGACGAAGCCCAGGGGGGACTGGGAGAAACCGGGAACTTGAGGCGGTGATGTTCAGTTTGGTAACACCATTTCCAGTTCCACCTTTCTTGATTTTCCTAACCCAGTCTCGCCATATTTGGTGAGATCAGGGCAGAGACGGCCCATCCCCTGGCCCTTCGTCTCCTGCTTACTTTCCCCTGTTCTTTGGAGGCTGTCACTGCATCTTCCCTGTCCTGGGCACCTGCCTCCCCCGGGGTAGCGCACGGCATCCTCCCTGTCCTGGGCACCTGCCTCCCCCGGGGCGGCGCACGGCATCCTCCCTGTCCTGGGCACCTGCCTCCCCCGGGGCGGCGTACGGCATCCTCCCTGTCCTGGGCACCTGCCTCCCCCGGGGCGGCGCACGGCATCCTCCCTGTCCTGGGCACCTGCCTCCCCCGGGGCAGCGCACCCAGCCCCTCCGCGTGTGAAGGCGCTGAGCTGCAAACTTCCGTGCGTTCCTTTTACGGCAATTCTAGGGAGATTATTCCCTTATTTCCCAGATGAAGAAACTGGGGCAAAGTTGTAACCTACACCAGGTCACACACCTACCACCCGGCGACGTTGGCTGGAAACGAGCTAGGAGTCCCAAGCCAGAGCTTTAGCAGACCTCAGCCGCCTCCGCATTCCCGTCCCTGGCCCACGTGACCGCCCGGTCCCCGCCTTCCCAGTGCCAGCCCGGCCCGCCGCACCCGGAGGCCCGCCCCGTGCGGGCAGGTGGGACTGGAGGCGCGGGGGCGTGGCCGGAAGCCTTAAAGCGGCCGGGGTGGCAGAGGGCGGGACAGACCGGGCTGTGGCTGCTGGCTGGGCACCGGACGTCTGCCACCATGTCCCTGGCGGCCTCCGCAGCCCGGGGCCCCGGGGCCCTGTGGTCCCCAACGCACGTGCAGGTGACGGTGCTGCAGGCGCGGGGCCTGCGGGCCAAGGGTCCGGGGGGCACGAGCGACGCGTACGCGGTGATCCAGGTGGGCAAGGAGAAGTACGCCACGTCGGTGTCGGAGCGCAGCCTGGGCGCGCCGGTGTGGCGCGAGGAGGCCACCTTCGAGCTGCCGCCGCTGCTGTCGTCCGGGGCGTCCACCGCCACCCTGCAGCTCACCGTGCTGCACCGCGCGCTGCTCGGCCTCGACAAGTTCCTGGGTCGCGCTGACGTGGACCTGCGGGAGCTACACAGCGACCAGGGCCGCAGGAAGAAGCAGTGAGCGGGGCGCGGGCCGGGAAGGAGGCCTGGGCGGGGGGGCAGGTCCCCAGAATGGGGCCGTTGATGAACTGGAGCAATATGCGGACAGGGAAACGCTGAAGAGGATGGGGTGGTGTGCAGAATGGGGGCGTTGGTGAACTGGAGCACTACGTGGCCAGGAAAATTCTCAAGAGGATGCAGAATAGGGGCTTTGATGAACTGGAGCAGTATGCAGACAGAACGCCGAAGAGGATGGGGTGGTGTGCAGGATGGGAGCTTTGATGAACTAGAGCAGTATGCGGACAGAATTCTTCAGAGGATGGGGTGGTGTGTGCCTGACACGCTGTAACTCACGTGGAAGGCCTCGCGTGTTTTGCTGAGAAGACGCTTTGAGCTGAGAACCCCTGGGCCAGGGAGCAGGGACAACCACGGGGGTCTTCAGCCTGGACACCCCTGCGCTGGCCCAGTGGTAGGGCGAGAATGGGGAAAGACGGCTGCCTTTTGAGTTCCAGCCCTCACCCCCACCTGAACATGCCCCTCCAGAAGGAGCTCTAGAACAGTCTCAAATGAGTGCTAGGTGTCTCCAGGACCTGTCCCGGGCTAAGCAGAACTGGGCATAGAAGGTTCTGGCTGGGCATCTTTAAGACAAAGACTTGGGCAAGCTCCAGTTGACTTTACATTTTCCTGATTTATTTGTTCACTGGTGATTGGAAAGGGCAGCTTAAACCAATGGAACGTTCGATTATGTCTATTTAATATACCAAAGCTAGCTCGGATTAGTCTAATTGGTTACTTTGCTTGATCTTAGAGATGGCTACAGTTTATGAAGCATGCTGATTCTCTCTGTATTATAGGTATTCAGAGTATTTTACCTTTTTCTTGGAAGACACAGGAAAAGCCAGAGGGGCTGTGGTTATCAGGCTAGTTAGGGTGGGTTTCATTTCAGTATGCATGCTTACAAACTGATAATAATCTGATAGATTATCTATCTGGCCACTGGTCAGTAGGTATTTCTGAAATCAATATCAGATTGAAAAAGGGGAGTCTTGTTGTGAGACTGGTTGAGATATAGGGTATCTAATCGCATCACCTTACAAGCCATAAGGTGAGCATTATCTTGCTAAGAAGAAGCTATAGCAATGCTGCTTTTCTGTCTGATTAAATGACATTTGGGGGCTTGGGGTGTTGGCTGTTGGCACTTTATCTTGCCCCATTGCAAGATGTGGAGCTCTCTCTTTACCATCTGTTTCCTATGTGAATTTTTTATTCTCTTGCAAGACAGAGTGCATCTCCCTGCCAGAGATGGGGGTTCCAGGTTCTAATGTCCACTTGGTCCTGACTCATAGTTGGGTCGCTCTGGCACTAAACACCCTTGTTTCCCTATTTATAAATGGAACATGCCGCTGGCCTTAATTGACGTTTGTGAGGGGTTGCTGCTTCCTGGGTTAATGAAGCCATTGTAAAGGTTCAAAAGGTCCTGTTCGGGGTGTGAGGGATGAAGCCTCCTTCCGCTCCTGCTCCTATCTCGGCATCTTCGTTTTCCTCATTTTCTCTGGCACTCCTAAACCTACATGGCATGGTCACTCCTGTTTTTGTTACGTGAGCCGATTTACCACTTACACATTATTGGCTTATAGGGAAATTGTGCTTAGTTAATGGGTTTTCTTAACTGCTTGGAACACGTCTTACTCCTCTACAAGCAAGAGAAATTGCAAGGTTTTCGTCTTCCACTTCCTGGGGCTTTCTGAGGTGCTGGGGGAGCCCAGTTATAGTAAGCCTGCCCGATGACCTCATATATCTCCAAGGCGTCCAATATAGCTGAGATTCAAAGAGTAAGATGTTCTGAGAGGCGAAAGTTTGGTAGAAAGAAACGAGTCAGGCTATTCCTAGCCATTTGAACTAATTATTAATGGTCTGACTCCGCCTTACATGTTAAAAGCCAGAAACAAAACAAAGGCTTAGTCTCTAGTATCTGTGTAGCAACAGTGAGTGGCCTTTCTTATAGGTTCAGACACTGAAACTTGAGAGCCATTAAAGCATTAAGATCCAACCATTTTCTTGATAAGCCTCCATATATCAAATTTATTTGAAGTCAAAAGAATGTGCTTTTTGTCATGACTCAGACTTCAGGTTGGATGTGATGACATGCACCTCTACACCAAGCAGCCTGATATATAGGTAGGATACATTTAGAAGGAGCGAATGTTTGGCCTTCAGTTAAAGACCTGAGAGCTCATCACATGAGCTCTGAAGTACAATCAGGAGAACGTGTAGGACCCTCAGCCCACCTTTCTGTTTCTGGTGTCATGTGGTTTGGGGTTCTAGATTGATTTCAAACAAAAACCTACCAAAAAAAAATCTTCGGATACAAAGAGCAACAGAATTTTGGGAAATACTCTCTTAAGGGTAGATGAAAACCCTTATTCAGCTTGGCAATTGGAGGCCAGTTGTATCAGTAAATACCGCAAAACCTAATGCTATGGTAGTCTTCCAGGTACGAAGACAGAGAATGAAGGAAGGTCACTCTTACATCTCCTGAGACTTAAATGCCTGTATCTGAATGGGTTTGGATATGGTAGAGGTTTAATATGTTGAAGATTTGTAAGAATAGTAAGAGGCTGAAATGAATTATCAATGGAAAAATTGGGGTTATTAGAAATAAGAGTTGAGCTGTTCTTTTTCTAGAAGAATTAGATGTAGAGAAATAGCTAAACTAAGTCCTCATAAGCAGTCAGAGGTGTGTTTACGCCTTTAGGCTTCCTGTACATTTTAATTTTTCATCAGGTTGGAAATTTCAAGCAATGTTGTTACTTCTTTCTTTCTTAGAGTTTCCTTTAAAGATAATACTGGGCTTTCCTGGAACCCTTTCACCTCTTGGCAGCACAGGCCCCTCCTACTTCAAAATAGGAAACTGAGCTTCTGACTTAGGTCGGGGTTCTCTGCAGATCCTATGACAGGCAATCCTCCCTCATCGAAAGCATATCAGAGTTGTCACTAGGTGATACTGTTACTTGTGATTTCATTTGTCAGACATTTCAGTTACCATGGAGGAAGTTCCACCTGAGCTTCCCCCAGCTCTAAAGTTTGTCTGTTCTTCTAGTACATTACACACACACCCAACACACACATGAAGTTGAAGCTAGGGCCTTATGTGTGCCAGGCAAGCACTCTACCACTGAGCTCCATTCTTAACCCTCTTGAATACTTTGTGTGTGTGTGTGTGTGTGTGTGTATGTACATATATGTGTGTGGTATATAAGTGCTTGTGTGGGGCTGTGCCAGAGGTCAACATCAGGTAGCTTCCTTGATTGCTTTCTACCTAATAAACTGTGTGTATTTGCATGTGTGGGGGGCATGTGTGCAAGTGTGCATGCATATATATATGTGGGTATGTGTGGAAGCCAGAGGTTGACATCAGGTATCTCCCTTGATGGCTCTCCACCTTATATATTGATGCAGTGTCTCAGGGGAAGTCAGTGACTTAGCTATTTAAACTAACCAGCTTGCTCCAGGGGTCTCCTTTCTTCATCTCCAGAGCACTGGGATTACAGATGGGCTGCCACACCTGCCTATCATTTACATGGATGCTGGGGATTAGAACTTGCGTTGTCAGCCTTGTGGGGCAAGAGCTTTACCCATTAAGCCATTTCCCCGGCCCCCTCCACCTTATTTTTTAAGACAGGGTCTCACCGAACCTACAGCTCTTTGATTTGCCAAAACTGACTAGCCAATGAGCTCCAGGATTCTACCTATCTTTGCCCCTCTACCCCCCAGTGATGGGGTTATGGATGAAGGCTGCTGTGCCCAGCTTTTACATAGGTGCCAAACCCAGCCCCATAAAAACGTTTTAGTGCTGCTTTGTGCCAGGTGCTGGGTATAAAGTGTCTACAGTGGTAGACCAGAGAGGCATGGTCCTTGCTTTTGAGAAGTTCAGAGCATTGTGGAGAAATAGACCTGAAGCAGATGAACACAAAAAGAACTCATAATACTTTGTGATAAGTTCCAGAGATGAAATAACAAGCTATCAACATAAAAGATAAAGAAGATCATGCTGTGAAAGGGATTAGAGAGCAGGGCATGGTGGGATCTACAGTCCTAGATACTCTGGGAGGTTGAGGAAGGAAGATTGCTTGAGCCCAAGAATTAGGGCCAGCCTGGGCAACATGGCAAGAGCCTGTCTCATAGAAGGCAAGCCTTCATTTTCTCTGTGTGATGCTCGGCATGCTCGGTATATCCCCAGCTAAAAGTATTAATGAACGTGCTTACAGATAGCCCTTGAGGCAGCTAGCTGAAAAATACTGAGGAAATCAAGGGGAGCTGTGTAAGGTCTGTAAGGCAGTGCTACCGAGGAAGCTAGAGGATTATGTAGGCTAAGACTAAAAAGAAGGAATGACTTCACGTGAGCCGAATAGGAAGCCCCTGAGTGTTAAGAGAACTGGTGCGATCTGGTTTGTCAAAGATCATGAGTGGAAAATGGATTTGAACCTGTCCTAGTCTGGAACCCCACCGATCAAATGGAGACTGTTGCAGTAATCAAGGTAGTATGTGGTACCTTGGGTTGGGGTGAGGAAGATATGCCTGGGTTCCAGGAATATTTTGTACATTCAGTTGCTGACTTGTGGCAGATTAGATGTGGTGAGATAGGAGAGGGAGAGGCAGTAAGATTAAACAAGTAAAATAAAATAAAGAGAACTTGATGCTGAAAGTGAACCAGGAAATAGCTCTGCTTTCTTTTCCCAACAGTCACTCTGATAGCAGGGTGAGGTCACCATGACAAAGACAGCTTTAAGTAGTGCCCCTTTGCACTGAGTCTCTGTTGGAATGAATGACTAGGGTATGCCCTTGAAAGCAGGATGTGTGTACATGTGGCTGCAGTACAAGGCCAAGCACTTGTTTTATAACTGTGTGGCCAATGTAATATCATTGGTGCACTCTGCGAAACTGATGGTGTCACGGCTTCAGGGAAAACAGGACGAAGAAAAGGAAAGCATAATATAGCAAATAGGGGAAGGTCCCAT